ATACTCAACCACCTGCAACAGTAAAATTAATGGGAATTTTACTAATTCACTGTTTTTTGGCACTTCGAAAAACCTAATTTGTTATTAACCTTTTTATCGAAAAGAATAATATATATCAAATAGAAATAATATTAGATTTATTTAAATTGGTTCAAACTATTCAAATTTTTGAATTTGAGTTTCCAACGAAAATAAACGTCTTGAGGTCTTGGACTTAAAGACGCCTAGAGTCGAATAATTTTTACTTTCACTTACGTATATATGTAATATACAGTAAGGATAATTATTGCGATCATGAACATTTTTGAATCTGAGTTTTCAACGGAAATACACGTTTTGAGGTACTCTGAGTCCAAATAACCAAGTCCCGCAAAATGGTCTGTGTCCGTATATCTGCGTGTATGTTATCAGTCTAGCTCAAAAACGGAAAGTCGTATGAAAGTGAAATTGTATACAACGTCGCAATAATATTTATAAGTGTTTTTGTATTCAATATCATCAGGCCTTTTCTTTCGAAATGGCGGCCGAAAAACGTGATTCGCTTTAGACTGTTGCGCCCATACTGCTTTAATGATCATAATGAAACTTGGCCGAAGCCTTCCCCTTGAAACATTTATAATTTATGTATATAATATACTTATGCGAAAACAAGCTGCATACATTTTTATGATGAATTCAGTATTTTATTTGCAAATAACTCAAAAAGTACACATTTTTTCAAATATTTATTTGAAAGCTTCCTGAAATCCCTACAAAATAATATTTGTTGCAGAGATATTTGGTTTTAAACATTTAGTACTTTTACTTTTTCAAAAAAAAATTCCATAATTTTGGTTTTTGATAAATTGTAAACATTACATTTAATGAAGTGATCGGGACTATTATTTGAAGAAATTAATTATTACCATTGAATGTTAGTGTAATGTTACCTCATAAATTTTTTTTTTAAATTTATTTATTGATGATATTCACAACTGTATTACAAGTAAAAATACATTCAGTAAATGTGTACAATAGAATATAATAGCATGAAATCATTTGTTGAGAAACTACCCACTGGTAGCACTCTAAAAATTGATTTACAAAAGGAGATCTCGAGGCCATCTTCTTTTCAGACGCCTCGGAGGGTTGTCAGCTATCGAAAAGGAAGCAAGGTTAGAAACGAGAGGGTTAGGATGGTTCTGGGATTGGGCCAGGTCAGAAACATGAGGAACATTAAGGTCGTTATGGATGATTTTGTTTCTGACAAAGTAAGGAGCTGTGGGTATTTTACGAAGGATTTTGGATTGTAAGGATTGGATGCGAGAGGAATTCGATGGCTTAGTGGAGCCCCAGAGCTCAATTCCGTAAGTCCAAATAGGTCTTATTGTAGTCATGTATATGAGTCTTTTTTAATTGACTGGGAGCTTAGAGCGTTTGTCTAGTAAGTGCTGGAGTAGTCGGAAACGTCGGGCGGTTTCTAGTCGTTTCAGTCTGGAGTGGGGGTTCCAAGTGAGTCGTTTGTAAAGGTGGAGTCCTAGGTATCGAATTTGTTCAACAGGGATAAGTGGGGTATTATTAAAGGATACTGTAGGACAAGAGGACATAGGTTTGGGATAGATTGAAGAGTTTGGGATGCAATAGATGGATTGTTATTGACTGATAGGATACATGTGTCATCGGCATATGTGGTGATGACAGTGTTGGGATGTCAACTGTATAAAGGATAGGACCTAGGATACTACCTTGAGGAACACCAGCGGACTGAGAAAAAAGAGATGAAAAAGCATTGTTATGATTGACTTTGAAGAATCTGTCAGTAAGGTAGGAACGGATAATGAGGAAGTATGTAGGTGGTAGGAATTTACGGTTCAAGGTTTGTGATGTGTGATTGAAGGGTTTGGAATGCAATTGTTAGGTCGTTATTAATTGACAGGACACATGTATCATCGGCATACGTGGTAATAACAGTGTTAGGATGGGTTGGGATATCAGCTGTATAAACTGTGTAAAGCATACGACCTAGGATACTACCTTGAGGAACACCAGCGGACTGAGAAAAAAGAGATGAAAAAGCATTGTTATGATTGACTTTGAAGAATCTGTCAGTAAGGTAGGAACGGATAATGAGGAAGTATGTAGGTGGTAGGAATTTACGGTTCAAGGTTTGTGATGTGTGATTGAAGAGTTTGGAATGCAATTGTTAGGTCGTTATTAATTGACAGGACACATGTATCATCGGCATACGTGGTAATAACAGTGTTAGGATGGGTTGGGATATCAGCTGTATAAACTGTGTAAAGGATAGGACCTAGGATACTACCTTGAGGAACACCAGCGGACTGAGAAAAAAGAGATGAAAAAGCATTGTTATGATTGACTTTGAAGAATCTGTCAGTAAGGTAGGAACGGATAATGAGGAAGTATGTAGGTGGTAGGAATTTACGGTTCAAGGTTTGTGATTGAAGGGTTTGGAATGCAATTGTTAGGTCGTTATTAATTGACAGGACACATGTATCATCGGCATACGTGGTAATAACAGTGTTAGGATGGGTTGGGATATCAGCTGTATAAACTGTGTAAAGGATAGGACCTAGGATACTACCTTGAGGAACACCAGCGGACTGAGAAAAAAGAGATGAAAAAGCATTGTTATGATTGACTTTGAAGAATCTGTCAGTAAGGTAGGAACGGATAATGAGGAAGTATGTAGGTGGTAGGAATTTACGGTTCAAGGTTTGTGATGTGTGATTGAAGGGTTTGGAATGCAATTGTTAGGTCGTTATTAATTGACAGGACACATGTATCATCGGCATACGTGGTAATAACAGTGTTAGGATGGGTTGGGATATCAGCTGTATAAACTGTGTAAAGGATAGGACCTAGGATACTACCTTGAGGAACACCAGCGGACTGGGAAAAAAGGGATGAATAGACATTATTATGATTTACTTTGAAGGATCTATCAGTTAGATAGGAACGGATAATGAGGAAGTATGTAGGGTGTAGGAATTTACGGAGTTTGTAAAGTAGTCCTGGGTGCCAGACTCGATCAAAAGCCTGTTCTACATCGAGAAAGACTCCCGTGCAGTACATTCCGCGCTCCAATCCTCATAAATTAAATTTAAAAATAAATTCTATAGTTTTACTCATTCTTAACTCAAATACTGCACAACCATTAGTTAATGGAACATGACTGAGAATGAAGTACTGACGGGAGCTACTTTAAATCAAAGAATTTTAATTCCAAAAATTAATATAATATTTTCTGACACAATACTTCTATTCGAATTTCAAGGAACGTTCTTATTAATAGCTGCATTAGCTATGACCATGATCAAATCGCAGGGTCAAAGTTCTGGAAAAATTTGTGTATTATTGCGAAGTCCAGTTATTTAGCATGGATAATTCTATGTGGAAGCAAGTAGAGCACCTTCATTTAAAATTTTGAAGTTTATATTTCCATTGGCAATGAGCACTGCTATGTACTAAACAATAACAGAACATTAAAAAAGAACATTGTTTACAGAGAAGTTGTTACAATGGATTGTTGTCCATAACAATGGATTTAAACTCAATTGAAATTGCTAATTTAAATTTGTTTTTCCCTTGCTTAATTATAACATTAATTTATTGTGACAATAACACACATAAATTAAAAATTTGAATGAGTTTATTTTGTATTACTTATTAATACATTTAGGTAGTTTAAGCTCGATTTTTAATTGAAATTGAAATTTTATTTATATTAATAAATGAGGATTTTTAAATCGTGATATACTTTTTATTTATTGAATTTATTTTTTATTTTATTATGTTTTCCTCAAATGTTTAATGACTACGGTCGAATATCGACCACTGGGAGACTTAATAATAAATAGTTAAAAATCTACTATTAATGATTTTGATGATTAAAAATAAGAGATTAAATGGAAAAAGATTTTTAGGAAGAAGCAGTACCTATTTCCTGCCCAATCAAAAGTACACAAAGGCATCAAACAAAATAAACATAAAGTAAATTCAGGTGAACACAAGGATTATACAACGATGATAACACGTGCTGTTTTTCGGAGATAACCCATTTAAAAGCTCATTAAAATTTTAGGAAATTATTATACAATAGTTTATTATTTCCAAATAGTTATATGTAACATTTTTTATACAGGTGGTGAAACCCTGATTATAGGGAAGGTACTATATTTATTACATTAAACTATCCATAATTTATTATGAAACTGAGAAAAATATTGGTTTACCATGTATTTCATATGTAAATTCCGTTTATTTCCTATGAAATTGTTTTTTATTTTTACATTTACTTGCAGCTGTCAACTGTATATTGATTTTTAGGAGGTTCAATTACTTTGGAATTTAAAAAAGGCGATTTTTCTGGGCTGGTTAATTTCCCACTAAATAATATAAGTTATTAATAATCTAATTAATTATATTATAACGTAATTAATTATATTAATAATTTAAAACTTATTACTACAACAATTGCAAGTTTGTTGGTCAATCCCCATTAACGTCTACGATCCAATTTGTTTCATATTCATTTTAATAAAATGTTTAACTTTCTAATGATATATCATATAGCTGTATTATTTCAAGACATTGTTTTCCATCCTGTGAAAATATTTCTCCTTCAGTTAATTATCAAATTACTTCTTAGTTCATATTTATTAATTTTGTATTACTACTGACAATGATAGTAATATGATATAATTGAACTGTAATTATTTCTAGTAAACAAATTTAAACTTCAATGTATATTTATTCAAATAAGATCTCGGGGGCACTGCCGTTTTAAACTTCGAGGAAGAATTTAGGGATGGGTGGAGCTAAATAGAGTTTGCGCAAGGGAATTCGGATGATATGTAAGGTTTTGGTGAAATTTGTAATAGGGCACATAGGAAATATTTTGTACCGAATATCATTGTTTTTTAACGATATATTGAAATATTATACTTTTATTATATCATAATCTATAATTACTAATCTAATATAATATTTTGTTGCAGCCTGCCTGTGTTCCTTTACATGCGGCCAAGCTTTCTCATGGCCGTCCCCAGCCCTGCCCAAGATCCGATCAGGTGCGACTGGATTCTCAGTGACCGCCGATCAGGAGTCATGGATGCTCACCATCATGTTCATTGGTAACATCCTCAGCCCTATCCCAGCCGGGATGATCATGGACAGGATAGGCAGGAAGAGTTCCCTCCACCTCTTCGTCTTGGTTGCTATTGTCGCCTGGCTTCTGCCCTACTTCAACCACTCAGTGGAAGGCCTCTACGTCTCTCGGCTGCTGGTCGGGATATGGGCCGGCTTCGTATATACCCTGGTGCCCATCCTGATCGGCGAAGTGGTCGACCCAGCAATCAGAGGTTCGATGGGCTCCGTATTCGGAGTAATGCTTTACTTGGGAGGGATGTACGAGAGTCTCATCGGTCTGTACGCATCGTACGACATGCTGACACTGGTATCTCTAATACCACCTGTTCTTGTTTTTCTTTTATTCTCACTTCTACCTGAGACTCCATATTTTCATCTGATGAAGGGGAATCGTCGACTCGCCGCCGAAAGCATGGAATGGCTCCAGGGATCCACAAAGGAGGAAGAGTTGGACTTCATGGAGGAATGCATGAAAGAACAGCTTGAGAACCGAGGTTCCTTCCTGGATCTCTTCCAGGTGAAGGCCAACCGCAAAGCCTTCATGATGGCACTGATCCTGGCTGGAGTACAACGAGCGGCCGGTCTCACGCTCCTCATGTCGTACGCTTCTGTTACTATCCCAGACTCTTTCATTACTGGAGAACAGAGCTTTACAGTGTTGGATTCTGTTTGGATTCTTGCTAGTATCTGTTCCTTCTTCATCATGGACCGTTTTAATCGAAGAACGCTACTTTTCGTTTCCTCCCTAGGAAGCTGCATCACTATGATATTAATCTTCGTATGGTACTTCATCAGGGACTTCACCGACGTCGATACTTCGACAACACTCTGGTTACCTCTCATCGCGTTGATCATAAACGGGATCTTCTACTCAATCGGTCTAGTCTCAATTCCCACCCTGGTTCAAGGAGAGCTTTTCCCGGTCAACATCAAAGGAAAAGCTTCGGCCATTGCTAGTATCACCATGTCCGCCATGTCAGCAATTACGACAAAAGCCTATCAACCACTAACTGACAACGTAGGAGTGTTCGCGAATTTCGTTATATGCGCTACATCCTGTGCGATTGGAGCATTTTTCGCGGCGACATACATGACTGAGACAAGAGGTAAAACGTTAGAGGAGATTCAAGACGTTCTTACCCAGAAGAAGAGGAAAAAGAAGAAGATCCCTCTTTAAGAACAGTTATTATAAATTAAATTTAAAATTATGTACGAAGGGTTCAGGTTGTCATACCCAAAAAAGGTCAGTTGAAGTTTATTTCAAAGCGGAAAATAATTAATACTCAAAGTGACATACTAAAGTATTTCTGAGTGTAGTTCTGAAATTTGGATAGTACAAACGAAAATTACAATAGGATGACTGTTTGATTAAATTAAATTAAAAAATTTAATAAACAATTTGTAGTTTTAAATATTTTATAATTTGAATATAAACTTGTAGAAGTTCTTAGTTTAATTATATTTACTTATAATTATATATTTCTAAGAACTGTCAAAAATATATTAAATTAATTTTAGGTAATGCAGTAAAATTTTACGTATAGTAGTCATTTTATGTACGTAAATATCATATCCTATGTGTAATGTACAAAATTAAATGAAAATAATAGTCATTAGTAAATAAAAACTTCTATTGTATAATCTTTGTACTTGGAAAGAATTAAATAACATTGAATATTGTAAATAGATTATTTTATTGTAAATAGTTTAATTTATTTATATTTTGATTACTTATAAATTAGGTTTTATGTCAAGAAAGAATTCAGAGATAAAAGAAGATTTTTTTTTGTACTTTTATTACAACATATTATTAAGTGTACAGTAATTGAAAATGAAAGTAGGGTTCCTGTTTTGATATTATTATTTTATTTATATGAAATAATTGAAACTGTTTTTTTTTCAAACAAATAAATATTAATATGATATTTTAATTCTTATTTACATAACCTACCATTTGGCTTATCACGAATACCATCACTTAATACGAATTACAAAATTATGTTAATTTTATAATTAACAAGAGGAGAAGTAAAACAAATTAATCTCATATGGAGACACCTAGTGTAGCCCAAATGCGAGACCAAAACGAGTCTTGGTCTTGCGCACTTCTTCTTCCTCTTGCACTTGGTCTTAAGCAAGAGTCTCGCAACAGTCTTGCAGTTACCTATTAGCTTATTACTACAGTCATATTACAGTAATTTTTTAGATAGGATTAACCTAAATAAGCCCGAATGAATAATTAGAAGAGTGAAATGCAAAAGTACATTGGTTATAACAATTGTTTAAATATAGTAACTAAAATTGCAAAGTGCAAGACCAAGACCAATTTTGGGCAACACTAGCGACACCAGTCTTACAATATATTCTATTGTCATGGCAATTAATGTTGTATTTACTGATTGACTAATAAATGTCTAATAATAATAATTTATGTTAACACTGTAAAACATCTCAATTTTTTTTTTATGGAATAGCTTTGGATTTTTTGCATTAAGTTTGATATGCTTAATCTAACTCTACCCTCAGGTTTCGATATCAGAAATATTTATATCACCAAAATTCAATAAAATTGTCATTTTGAACAACCTCAACACACATTTTTAATCAAACTTTAATATTATTTTCCCCCTTCTGATTTTTTTGACGGTTTTCTTTTTTTAATTTTTCAAGAATGAGTACTGATCTTAAAAGTTTGTAGTTTTGTATTCATAAAATTATGAAGCCCAGACCAATTATATGCAGTACAAATATTTAATTACCTTCAAGATTTATCACTAAATCTTCAAATTAGGCATTAGACTTTTGTTTTAAATAGGACGAAAATTTTAACATTGGAGTATTTTCCATATAATTATTTTTATTTTTGACAGTCCACAGATTTGACTGTTAAATAAATAATTTATGAATTGTGTAATAAGAAGGATTTATTTTGAGGAAATAATTTTTTATAATAATGATATGAAATAATGGTTGGATGGATTTTATAATGATGTTATATAATTATAGACTTAAAAATGGGCAAAGTTGCCCGATATGTCGACGAGATGTTTGAATTAATTAAAACAATAATTAAATGTATAAGGGTTAAAATAAATTGTTTTTTCCTCGATATTATAAACTTTAATTAAGATTCATATTTATGTATAGCATTTAAGTCTAGTTTACATTTTTAATATATTATTATAATTTTATATTAGAATATAAAAAATACTTTTTCATTTGTTTAAATATAACATTTATATTAGTATAAACAAAGCGAGCAATGAAAATCTAGGAAAATTACATACAAATCGACCACCTACCACTTAACTATTAACCTATAAGTGTACTCTCAATTAAAGAAAGATTGAAGTAGAAATTTCGGTAGGTCAGTTTTAATGAAAATGTTGAATATAGGTAATATTTGCATATATCATCCCAGGCATAAACTTACAATGAACTCTTAATTTTAGTTTCGTATTATTTTTCGTGTTAAAACTATCCTGTCCACACACTCACCATACTTGGTTGTTTGGGCTTAAGAGATCCATAGAAAACTGAAATTAGAGATTTCTCTCGAATGCAACAATTTTCCTTACTTTATAGATGAGTGAAAGTAAAAAACAAATAGATCTTTCAGTGACTGCACAATAACAACCAAATAAATTTTAAAAATAAATTAAGGTTATAACTGAATCCTCACTATTTTAAGGTTATAAATGCGGCGCTTTGTAGGTTATAAATGTAATCTTAAAAAACTTTCTATCAAATCTGGACCTGATTTAACAATGATTCATCGACGATGTTCTTAAAGATAGAAAAGTTAGAGGCGGTACAAGTGTAAGAGGAAGCTCTAAGCTGAAAAGCGGTGACAATTTCACAGTCGATCTCAACTCTCAACTGGGGAAACTTGAACCAAAATGGTGAGCGATTTAATCCCCACCCCACCTGTCCTAGAGCTACACAAATACAGCTGTTAATATTGCAAGGGCTGTGGCAGGACGGGTGTCCCGAGGGGTTCGCGAAGTTGCGGAAACAGCGAGGGGAAGTCTGGCTCGAGTTGAGCTTGTAGTCGGTTTTAAAAAAAATTCACTGCAGATTACACTGTTGAACACAAATGCCTCTCCATAAAATAAATGTATATTTCCTGATTAATATAAACACACCAAGATACAGAAAATCAACGCTAGGTTAGGTTTGGAAATATTTCGACTACACAGTCCAGTGTCTTTGAAATGCAGGTAGAGAATAAAATAACCTGTCAAGCACTATCAGGAGAGAAAAGAAAAGAAAATCAAAATCACTTCTCTCCATCAAATCCAATCGCATATTCGTTGTATGCAGGTGATTACAAGCTTTTTTACTTTCACTTACCTATATTTATGTATATGTGTAATATATATGTAAGGAAAAGTATTATGATCGTGAAATTTTTTTTTAATATTAGTTTTCAAGATAAATACAAGTTTCGAGGTCCACTGAGTCCAAGTTCCGCAAAATGGCATGAAAGTGCCACATTATATCATCGATTTTACACATTTTTCTCAAAAATGGCTCTAACGATTTCGTCTAAATTATATCAGTGTAATACTAAATTGTTTTAGTATGATGTAGTTTTATCCTCATTAAGGTCCTCTAACAGGTGATGCCAAATTTTCAAATTTTCTTCTTTTAAAGTGCCTTTAATGTTTTTTATTTGAAATAATAAACTATCCCACATTAGACACAGATATAAAAAAATCGTTAAATATAAGGAATGAAGAAAATTTATTGGTAACTAAAGGAGAAATGAGAGTTTGAAACTTTACGGAAGCAGCCGAGAGCCCCCGACCTTTCCCGATCCTCCCCTTAAAAACATACCAGGTAGCCTTAGGTACAGGGCTTTCATATTGGTAGTTTAACTCTTACATGACACTTATGAATATTTTTTAAAGGTTTTCACGCATGAATATTGATGAAATACTAATATAAACCTTATAATATTTATGACTTTGGATATCTCGGAAACTAAGTGAGATAGCGAAAAAAAGTATATGATCAATCATATTACAAATTTCATCAACTTTAATTTTGTATCGAACGTCTTTGTCGATGCGATGGATACTTTACCTGATATAAGGGAAAACCCGAAAAACAGCACGACGATGTTTTGTCTTACGAAAAACGCAAGACAAAACATTTTTTTTTTTCAAAATTAGCAATAGTTGAGGAAGGATGTCTCGGAAACTAAGCGAGGTAGCGAAAGAAAGTATTGAACATAGCAAATAACTTTTTTAAATTATTATTTGTCAAAAACAAGATTGAATGAAACAGACTTCTAACGTCAAAGCCAACGTCAAGGGGGAGGAGCAGGTATATAAGCACCGACTGTACGTGGACCCTGGAGAAGCCTTAGAGTAAAAACTAGTAACGGGCTAAGTAACTGGTTCCTTTTAGGGTGTTATTGTGAAGTAATAGGGTGAAGTTAAGAACCAACCAACCATCCTTGCCCCACCCTGAATATTTGTATATAACACGCCGAGAAGTAAGAAAAGGGTCTTATGTTGATGTCCGGCCTTGAGGATAGGTCTTATGTTAATGTCCAGCCTTGAGGATAGGTCTTATGTTGATTTCTGGCCTGGAGGATAGGTATTATGTTGTCTTCTGGCTTGGGGAGTGAAGCCTTGGCCCGACATAGACCACACAGCTGGGCGTCTTGGAGAAGTTTTTGGTTCTGGCCTTGATGAGATGACCTCGGAACAGCGGATGTGAAACATGCCAAAACTACACCACTTCACATAACATAATAGCTAAGTTGTAATTCTCAATCCTAATGTTCAAATATTTCATGGCAATAATTCTAAAACAGTCCATCTATCTGAATTCACAGTCATTGATTAAATTCATTGAATCATGTTTTTAGTTTTTTCGTAAATATAATTTGCATATATAGTTTATTAAACATAGAAATAAATTAATTTTTTTAGTAAAAGTTATTTTAATTCTGCCACCTATTTATATCATAATGATCACAGGTAATGTTGGTAATTAGAAAGCATGATAAACACAAACCAGCTTTTGAGAAAAGAAATCCAATTAATTAATCCTGGACCAATTAATATATTATTATTTTTTGGGGGGGTTTAATTTTTTTATTCACACCTGTCATAGTGGTAATGACAACCAGTGAATGTGAGGTCGTTGGAAAAAATAATATCATATACCGCCGATGGTGGTAGTCGTAAATTGCCCTTTGTGGTAACTAATACAGCCTTCTAAATAGGACCTCTAACGAGGAGGAGGAACATTTCGGATAGGTCTAGGGCATTGTCACCGCAGTGATAAACATATATCGTTTTATTACTTTGTATAACACGTTTAGGTTACGTATGGTATGTTGTATGATATGGTATTCGTATGGCATGTTATATCTTAGACAAGGAATCCTAAACGGGTCTCAATATAACGGACTGGTTCAATATTTGGAAAATCCGACTAAATCAAGACAAATCACATTTACGCTTCGACATGAATCATGCCCTCCAGTTTTCCTTGACAATGCACAGATTCCACAGACAGACACCGTTCACTACCTTGGTCTGACATTTGACAGAAAAATGACGTGGGGCCCACATATAATCAAGAAACGAAAAACGCTAAATCAACGGTTACGAATTCTGAGTTCACTTCTTTCGAAAAATTCAAAACTAATACTTAGACAGAAATTGAACACATACAATTACTTACTAAATATATTATAGATCCAAATTTTTACTAAGTTTTATTATTAATTTTGAATAAACATTTCTGGGTAATTATCATCAATATTTATCCAGTGACAAATTTAAACACCCCAAAACTTAACATTTCAATATATGTATGATAATATTGTAAATTTTATCAGCTTTAATTTTGACTAAAACGTCTTTGTCGATGCAATGGCTAGTTTACCTGATATAAGCGAAATTTTAGTATGTTTACCTCCTTACTAGTCCAAATAATGCTCCAAATTAAAAAAAATTGTGTTCCTGCCATTTCCTTCTTTATCCCCTTTGCGAGTATTCATTGACCGGACTAGAGAGTTAACTAGTGCATTTCTAACGTGTAAAGCGCTGCTTT